TCTGTAACCAAACTCCCCCGGCCCTTTCTGTAACCAAACTCCCCCGGCCCTTTCTGTAACCAAACTCCCCCGGCCCTTTCTGTAACCAAACTCCCCCGGCCCTTTCTGTAACCAAACTCCCCCGGCCCTTTCTGTAACCAAACTCCCCCGGCCCTTTCTGTAACCAAACTCCCCCGGCCCTTTCTGTAACCAAACTCCCCCGGCCCTTTCTGTAACCAAACTCCCCGGCCCTTTCTGTAACCAAACTCCCCCGGCCCTTTCTGTAACCAAACTCCCCCGGCCCTTTCTGTAACCAAACTCCCCCGGCCCTTTCTGTAACCAAACTCCCCGGCCCTTTCTGTAACCAAACTCCCCCGGCCCTTTCTGTAACCAAACTCCCCCGACCCTTTCTGTAATGATACTACCTCGCCTTTTCTGTACGCTTTTAATGCAACTACCCCAACAGCTTTCTAGTTTCTTTAGTGGAGCTACCCCCCCACCATGGTATCAAGGTAGAGCTACCCCCTGCCTTGGTATCAAGGTGGAGCTACCCCCTGCCTTGGTATCAAGGTGGAGCTACCCCCTGCCTTGGTATCAAGGTGGAGCTACCCCCTGCCTTGGTATCAAGGTGGAGCTACCCCCTGCCTTGGTATCAAGGTGGAGCTACCCCCTGCCTTGGTATCAAGGTGGAGCTACCCCCTGTCTTGGTATCAAGGTGGAGCTACCCCCTGCCTTGGTATCAAGGTGGAGCTAAGCCCCACCTTGGCACCAATGTGGAGCTACCCATGCCTTGGCATCGAGGTGGAGCTACCCCACCTTGGTATCAAAGTGTCAGTGATGGAGGCTGTAGTTTTAAGCTGCAGTAGTTTGAAATGTTAACAATGGGGTGTGGAACAAGAGAATAAAAGGTAGGATTTTAAAGGGAGGTATTGTATAATATATAGGGGCAATAAGGGGTACAACATAAGGAGCATGAAATCCTGATTCTCTTAACTGCCAAGTACAAGAGATGCTACAATTCATTATACACTTAAGTTTCTTGGGAGCAAAATCCAAGGAGGATGACACTGGAAAGAGGGTGGAAGGAATAGGTTGTTCGTGCAAGAAGAGACTGTGGGTGAAAGTGGGTAGCTAGTGTAGAATTTACAGAGCACTAACTTAAAGCATACTATGCATTAAAAATCATACATCCACTCAACCTATTAATTAAACTACACTTCCAAAACAATGCAGAAAGTCTAAATGTTAATCCATTACAAATGCCATCAGATCACATAGAAGATTCCCCTAAAATTTAAGGTCTACACATTATAAAATCCATGCCAAATCCTCAAGGCCTGAGAGCTGAATTATCAAAATACGGGTCAGTTAGCAGCATGCTGTAAGCTGTATACGTACAGGCAAGCAGGATCATTAACAATGAAGTGAAAGTTCAAAAGAAAACTCAGGACTGGGGGGTTCTGGATATCTAATGTGATCTGTACAGTCTGAAAATTACTAAAGGCATTGAATATTCCACATAAAATGAAAAAGACTGATATTATGACTACTGTTTAATATTACAATAACCATCACAATGTAATAGAAGCTATTAAAATCTCTGCTACATCTCTCAATTCATGTGCATAACCATTTTGTTTAAAGTGATAAGTCACATGATGAGCCAGTGTAAAACAATTACCAGGGAAGGTAGTGGGAGGAGTATTAAAGTTTAATCTGAAGAAAGGTAGTAAATCTACTCGAAGCTTCTCAAGAAGTGTTCCCTAATAAAAGCAGGTCACTTTGTAAGGGTTGTTCTAGTAAGAAGAATGGGGCACATTTGGAAGACCAGAATCTAGCCTATCTTTTGCCTGAAGATTGGAAAAAAAAAAATTCTATACAAGGGAGGGGAAGGTAACCCCCCCCCCAACCCCAAGGAGTTTTTGCAGAGGGTGGGGAAAAGGAATTTCTAACAGTGATTAAAGCTTCTGAGATGAAGAGGTATTTGTATTTGGCTTTATTCCATTCACTACTTGAAAACAATCCACCTTAAATGACTTTTATTCCTTGAATTTTAACTAACCTTTAGTTTACTTTTTACAAACTTGCATCTCACTTGGTTTCTCTAAAATACGATTTTAATTTTTGAAGTTACTGTAGTTTCTTTCACTAATATTGCCAATCCCCTCCTCTCTTACTGCCTTCTCCTCACTAATTATACAAAGAAAACAGTAATAGGGAGATTTAGGATGGTATGTATTAAACTCAGAAATGGAAGATAGGTTGAAGATAGGAATGCAACTGGTTGATCAACAGGGTATAAATCTGAGGGAAATTGAGTTGTAGGAGGCATTCTAAGAAGGGATGAAAGTGGATCACAAAATTTAAACAGCAACTTCAGCATGAAGCATAGAAGTGGACATTACAGGTCCGCCATCACAAACCCGGCAATCAGTTATTCGGTTCCTTCATTATTCGGCACTAATTTTGGCTAGCATAATTACAAATTTCCAGGGTCGCCACACCAACCTGCTGGTACCGTTTGGTGGCGCTACTTGCTGCTAAGTCATTCTAATTTCTTTTTCTCCTTTTGTTATAATCTTACTTTTAAAGCCCTAGCCAGATTCCAATGAATAAAAGAAATGCTTCTCGTTGTGTAAAGCACCTACACAGTACACTGCCCATTAAAGATAAGGTGGCTTGAAGCCACTGTTGGTTGTCATGAGCTCAGTCTCGTGATGCAGGAGAATATGCTTTATTATTACACTAATATCAACACTACAGCTTATTGCCTATCACAATTGATCTAATGACATAATAAACAATATAAATAACATAAAACATGTTAAATACTCCAGAATGAATAATAATTGGCATAATACCGAGCAGTTCGACGGAGGTATGAAGAGGATATGGTATGTACAAATACCATTCTCCTATCCCTGTCTTGGGGGCTTATATTAGGGAAAACGGAGTATAGCACAGGGCTAATTGTGATATACACTCGTACTGCACCATAAACCTGAAAAGTTATTTTCTCTATATAGATTATCACACATAGCAGCACGTGTAGAGAACCTAGGATAACCCAAAGAGTCAGACAACGTGGCATACTTCTAGTACCTGGCTTGGGTTAGCCATATATGATTTTTGGTAAATATTAAATTCCCAGCCAGGGTAGAAACATTGGGTGTGTTTCTTTACACTTGTTGTCTATGTTCACCAAACAGTAAATGGGTACCTGGGTGTTAGCCGACTGGTGTGGGTGTTATCCTGGGACACTGACCTAATTTGCTTGAAATACTCTGCTTAACAAGCGGCTTTCTATATAATAGCATGTCACTGATGTCAGCTAGGCCTGTATACATTATTATTGTTGTTATTTTCTCAATTGTTTGTTGGGTTATCTTATTGAAACTTGGGCAATGCGTGATGGAAAGATACTTCTTAACGCACATTAAAAATGAAAGAAATCAGACCATAAGTAGCGGAGTTCACTTCTCAGCCATTAGTGGCCGCTTAGCGGTATATTTTTGTATGGTTATATTTATTTTCTTGTTTTTTTCAGTCTCAATTGACAGAATGAAAGATACATTACAGAAATAGATATGATTTTGATTGCTTTCATGATGAAAAGTACCTTGAAATTGCACTCACAGTAGCAAAAATGTTCTACTCTTCAGCGAATCTCAAGAGTAAACAAATGACATCACCGTAAAATACCTGTCCGCCTGCCAGTCCAAATTCCAATACGGAATCAAGAATGGGTTGACATTATTTAATACAATTATTACAATAATGCAGCAGTATGCATAACAGTAAACCTTCTATTATTTTTTTTTTTGTGAATAATAATTCCAAATGGAAAGCAAGGGAAATATTAAGAGGGGCCTGGAGCCGTGGCTAATGAACAGAGAAAATGTTATTTTAGTGCCAGGAATGTCTGCATTGTTTATTCTGGACCCTATTTTGAAATTGGCATCTGTTGAAATTTGTGTGAAATTGGCCAAATTGCCAATTTCTGACCACTATATTGGGTAGCTGAAATAAGTGAATGGGCAGTTTCTTGTACTCAGTCGACAGACTAGAAGTAAATAAGTTTATTCAGGTATATACAAATACAGTTACATAGATTATCATACATAGCAGCGTATGTGTAGAGAACCTAGGATAACCCAAAAAAGTCAAAGTGACTTATTTCCAGTACCTGGCTTGGGCTTGCCATATGATTTTTTGGTAATTTTTTTTTTTTCTCTCTCAGTTGCTTGTTGGGATATCTCATTGAAACTTGGGCAATGTATGATGGAAAGATGCTTCTTAATGTACACCAAAAATACTGACAATAAATAAGGGAGTTCACTTCTCAGCCATTAGCCGCCTCTTTGCGGTATATTTTCGTATGGCTTTTATGGTTGTATTCTCGTTTTTTTGGTCTTTTGATAGAATGGAAGATATACTACAGACAGAAGACAGACATGATTTTGATTGCTTTCATGACAAAAAGTACCTTGAAATTGAGGTCAAAGTAGCGGAAATGTTCAAGTTTTGCCGATGCTCAATGAACTTTGTGCAAGTCAAGTTGGTTAATTTTATTGAGTGTATTCTAACCTAACTACTCTGTAATCCGGCACACTACGGGTCCCAATGATGCCGGATTTGTGATGGAGGACCTACACCTGGTTTTAAGGATTATCAGGAAGTTAGGTAAAAGTTGTCAAACATGGATGGAAGTGAAGAAACTTGTACTTCAATAATCTAATAAATTGTAGGCACATTCTTTGAGCAATGGCTAATGCCACTGAAAAAATTATTAGGAATAAAAGTTTAATACTTAAAAATATTAAATTCTTAGCATGCAGATGGGCATTTAGGGGCTGTGGTAAGACAGGAAGAGACTCAGTCATGGGTTGTAGGCAACGGGTATTCAGCCAAAAACAGAACACCCTATTAAACACTTAAAAAAAATTTCGAGATGAAATTCCCAAGCCAAAAAAGTAGTGGTACAAATTACATTCCTTTTACTTAAATAACTGAACACTTACCATCCGACCAGCTCCTAGTCCGTACACCTTAACCCTCACGTTCTTGATCCCTCTATCTAGTGCTCGCTGTGGAAGAAAAAGTGTCACTGTTTAATTTACTGTAAAACTGCTAAGATGCTACACTAGTTATTTTTTTTGCTTTTAGATAAAAGTTGGATCATTACTACCTATGTACTTACAAAGTAGAGTGGAACCTCAAATATCAAACTTTCTTCATTCCAGATGGCTGTTCGAGTGCCATTACCGAATGAATTTATTCCCATCAGGAATAATGTAAATTAGATTAGTTCATTTCAGACCCTCAAAAATACACTTATAAAAGCACTTACAAAAATACACTTGCATAACTGGTCGAGTTGGGAGCAGTTCGATATTTGAGGTTCCACTGTATTAGTAAATTAAAAAACCTCGAAGCTATCAAACACCAATTAATGTCAATTGCAAACTAATTTCTTTAGGGTAGATCTAACTCATTGGAAAAGTTTCCACATCTCAACTTTTGAAACATTCATCAACATGTATGAAACCATCCAGAGGTATTACTATCATGTCAAATTGAGTGAAATAAAAAAAAAAAAAAGTAGGTGAAGAAGTTTTGCACTAGCAGACTTGCTGTTCATTCGTTGTGAATGTGCATGATGACAGGAAAATCTTTTAAACCTTAATTCACATTCAGCATGTACATCTATACTTATGTGCTTAATATTTTTAATCCTGTTAATATTTCCTTTCTAATCCTGGAGGCCTGGTAAAGTCAATAACCTGAACACTGATTTTGCTACTTTACATGTTATGCTTCAAAACTTAACTTCATTCATAATTTTAGGATGCCAAATGTTATTTCTGTACTTAGATTCTATGAACAACTTGCTGTACAACTGTATAACCTCACCAGAAGCACAGACATCACACTTCAAATGACCCTCCAAACTATAATAAACAAACATATTTGCCCTCCCTCATAACTACTGACTGATTAATAACTTTATTAACATACAAAGTTCTTCCATACTGAAATGCTTAGGGGTAAAGGTTAGAAACTAACAAAATTATGTCAGCAAAATTTATATACATTTACATAAAAAAAAAATCTTACCATGGCCAAACTGATTGCTGTAGTCTGAGCAGCAATGTTTGTGCTCTTTCGCGAATTCTTGAAACCTTCTATACCACAAGAGCGAGTAATTTTAACCACACCTGGAAAGAAGAAACAAAACTCTCAATTCTCTGCAATCACTTCTTTTTGCAATAGATACATATGCTAAGTGGCAGTTTCATTTTTTTTTTACTTTCATTTAAAACCTGAAATTTTCTTAAAATAGGAATTTCTTCCTACCTTGAGCATCAGTAAGGCACAGAAGGGTGTTATTTTTTGAAAACTTCGCATGTATTATAGGAAGGTCCGCAAAGCGCACCCCATCAAATAATAAGTCTGAAGTATTTTCATCCGGAAACATGCCATCATACCTAGTTGAAGGAAAAGTCTAAGCTAGACATTACACTAGCAATTATCTAAAGGGAATCAAGTCAGATGTAACTTTTTACGTTAAAGATTTATTTTCTGCCAATACACACGGTATGGTTAAGTATTTAAATTGCCAAACAAACACAGTATACCTATTTCATACCCGTTCACATATCATGCACTATCCTAAAGTCTAATCTTTGAAGTCAAACTAACCAAACCCAATACTCTTGGCAGAGACTTACAACAAATATAACCTGTATAATTTAAAGTATTTTCTTCCAATTAGCCAAATTAAAATATAACAGGAATTGTTCCTAGATATATTAGATCCTACACTGGGATTCAGAACAGTCCTTTATAATATATTGCAAACTGATACACCTTGTCAGGGTTAAACTGCAATCAGCAGCACCAATGAGGCATTTTTGCTCAACAGATTAATAAACCTATTTCACTAAATTACTCGATACCATGGACTTTCAATAAAATAGTATTGTACAAAAATTTACACAAGAATATTGCGGCAAGTCAGCAGTAGCTAGGTATTTTCAACACATTTTGTCTCTATTATGGTTATGAATCAACTTTAAACAATCCCTAATTCTCCACCTATTGAAGTGCAAATTCAGTGCCTTCATCCCATCTTTGCTGCAGCTTTCTGATACACAGAATCGACTTGATCATTGTCTATTCAGCGCACTTATGTTTGTTCTATAATAGACCAAAATTTAGTATAATTTAAACGAGGTCTTACCGAGGATACGTTAAGGTACGAAACCTTAAAACTATTACTTAAGCATCTTGATATGATAAGAATTGTGTTAATTTATAGCTAATACTTGTGCACTGTATTCAGACATTTAGGAGAGGACGTGTCAGCAGATGGGTCTATGAAGGATGAGGTGAATCACAGAATTGATCAGGGGAAAAAGGGCGAGTGCTGCACTTAGGAGTCTGTGGAGACAAAACTTTGTCCGTGGAAGCAAAAAGGGGAATGTATGAGAGTATAGTTGTACCAACACTCTTGTATGTGTGAAGCATGGGTGATGAATGTTGCAACAAGGAGAAGGCCAAGGCAGTGGAGTTGTCATGTCTGAGGGCAATGTGTGGTGTGAATACACACATAATGCAGAGAATTTATAGTTCAGAAATTAGGAGAAGGTGTGGGATTACCAAAACTATTATCCAGAGGACTAAGGACGGGTTGTGGAGGCGATTCAGACATGTAGAGAGAATGGAACAAAACAATGATTTCGAGTGTATAAATCTGCAGTGGAGGGAAGGCGGGGTAGGATTGGCCTAGGAAGGGTTGGAGGGAAGGGTTTACGTAAAAGAGGTTTTGTGTGCGAGGGGCTTGGACTTCCAGCAAGCGTGCACGAGCGTATTTGATAGGTGTGAATGGAGACAAATGGTTTTTAATACTTGACATGTGGTCGAGAGTGAGCAAAGTAACATTTATGAAGGGATTCAGGGAAACCGGCAAGCCGGATTCGAGTCCTAGAGATGGGAAGTACAGTGTCTACACTCTGAAGGAGGGGTGTTAATGTTGCAATTTTATAACTGTAGTGTAAAGCACCACTCTGGCAAGACAGTGATGGAGTGAATGATGATGAAAGCTTTTCTTTATCAGGCCACCCTGCCTTGGTGGGAATCAGCCAATGTGTTAATAATAAAATTATGCACTGTTGCCTTTGCTTTAGATTTCTGCTAATCAAAATATGTACCTTCATTTTTTTTTTCCATCATTTTGATCAAGATCTACGGTACTGTACATTTAGTTTACAAGTACCCTAGGTTTTCCCCACTATTAAAACCTTACATTCGTACACATTAAACCCCATATATTAACTTTTGAACACCAGGAATTTGGCCAAAATGCCAATAATAATACACGTATTCACAAGAAGGTGTTAAACTAGTAGGTCACACAATCTTAGAGTTATCGTATGCATGGGCATCCTTTCAATTTATTTTTTAAAAGAATGTAGGTTAGTTCTAATTTCTTGCATATACAATCCATATGGTATACATATGATTTATAGGGTGGGTAATTTATGGAGAAAAATGATACAAGACAAGCAAGGTTCCCACTTAAGAGGGTGAAGGGGAGAAGAGGCAAGGAGAGAAAATGTCAGCTATTTGAAATATCCGACCAATTTCATTTGGCTTTCCACTGCAGCCACTTTCCATGGCTGAAGTTGAAGTCATCAATGTTTCAAATAGCCAACAAGTTGTATCCAGAATCAGGGACATGCTAAAATATAACCAAAAGTCATCAAGCATATTTCAGGCACTGTATACTTCCAGGATTCAAGTCCTGGTAACAAGTTTTCCCCAAATACCTTCATAAATATTACCATGCATGTACTCAAATAAAAAATCACTTTCCTCCACCCACCCCTGTTAGGTGTCAAAGCCCCTAGCACTAAACCTTTTTCAGGTCTTCCCTCCAACCTCTCCTAGGATGACCCCTTCCCTCACCCTAGATTTATACACATTCCTAGTAATTTTGCTCCATCCTCTCTAAATTCCCAAACCACCACAACCCTTTGAATTTTTGGTAACCCTCACAATCTCATGGCTCCAAATTTTCTGCACAATATTCACACCACATCCCCCTAACTCAATGCATTCATAGTGCAGTCAACCTATCTTTGTGAAGGCATGTTCTGATATGAGGGATCAGAATCAAGGAAAAAGACAATATAATTGAATATTAATAAGGCACAGCAATAGGTCTATGGGTATATGCTAGGTAGGTCCAATCTGTAAACTAAGTATTTTTAACATGTTATTTATATCCTTTTAATTTATTCCAGCTTTCTATTTGTACCTTTCCATCATCTCCCCTGAATTCTACACCTTTCCAGAGAGCACAAATTCAGTGTTCCTGCAAGTTAACTGTAAATGCTTCCAAAGGACAGTTTCTGGCTTGATCAGCTACACTGTTGATGCTGCAGCTCAAAAATTTAACAGCATGGCTGATCAGGAACTGATTTGAGCAATTTGTCAAGTTCCCTCTTGAAAGCAACTAAGGTTTTTTTTAGGGGGGGGGGGCAGAGAATCCCAGTTATGCAAAGGTGGGTATCAAGGTGTGATCCCTTTACACTTTTTGAGACCCCGGTGTATTTGTTGTTCCCCTGCTTTTCAATGGAGGTATCCTGCACCATCTACTAAGTCTTATCATACATAATTTTGGTGTAGGTTTGGAACCAAACCTTACAGCATCTTTCAGATGTAGATTATGATGCATCTTATGCCTACTTTCTAGAAGTACAGTTCAAGGGACTTCCAGCATTCCCAGTATTTAAGACCTTGGAAAGGTTTCTGATGCAGGGATTAGCTTCTTTTCTGTAGCTGTATTTTCCGCATAATTTTAAGCCCATTCTATAATGGGAACACCTGTACTGGGCAGCATAATCTAAACGAGGCATTATCAAGAATATATAATTTGAAGACTGCTATTATTTATACTTTTTATCATAGAGAAGGGGATCAAGGAACTAATAAAATTACAGCAATCATGAAACTGAATTTTGAGGTGTGTATACTACACTACATTGTCTAATTACAAAACAGCTGTCAATCATAAGGGTGGAAAGTAGTCAAAAAAGTTTACAGTGCAGCAGCTCAGCAGTCATATGTATCAGCTAAATATGGATCCCAGAGCAGAAGAATTATGACTGACACAGACTAGCTCATAGGTTTAAGAGGTACAAGTTATAAGACACTTGTAAAGCAGCTTCTTTTGGCACCTTTAATAGGAATAACAGGAGGCCATATGTAACCCATGTAAAAAAATGGTTAAAAGGGTACTGGGGAATTTTTCTTTACAAATATGGGTAGAAAAATATAAAAATAACAAGTTCTACAACCACTAAGACATTCTAAAAATTACTATACACACATTAAAGGCAGGACACTAGTAGCAATAAGCAGAGGTAGGGCCAGGAGCTATGCCTTGACCCCTGCAACCAGTTACATAACTACCACAGCTCTGCTGCTACAGTTAATTACAAGCCCTTAATGACCATAACAGCCACGACTGGAGTGGAGAAAGGGAGGGAGGTTAAGGAAATTTGCTCAATACAAGAGTATGTAGTGACTGCTACAAACTTACCTAGGCATTTCTGCCATGTTTTCAGGCTAAATAAAGCTGTCACGAAAAGTGATACAAAAGTGAAGTTTAGGAACCTTTCTTACCAAGTTTTTCCAGAGTTACAGAGTTCAGGTCAGTGACTTGCAAGTTGCAACAAGCAAACTACATTTATTGCTAATTTTAAACACCAGCCATTATTAGTATTATTCAACCATAGTACACATTCTGGCACAATGTCCTGTGTATCATTCAATAAAAATTTCCCTTCACGTGTTGGCCACAATAAGAGTGTAATAAAGTTGGTAGAATTACCGTAATGGCTTGATAAAGCTCCTGGAGAGCGAAACGTTGCCACAATAAATGTCACATTAGTTGCACTTGTGTCCTTTTACTTTACACAATAAGAGTTTTCACCAAGACATAATATGCAACAAAAATTTAGTTTACCAGATATGTACACTAGTAAGATCAGGCTATTTTACAATAGTTTACTTTAAGTTACATTTTGGGTCTTTTATTAATTAAATCACCACGTTCAAAATCTTTAATTTAGGTTTCACAAGTATTGCAGAGAAAAACTTAACAGACTCCAAAGTCACTTTTTTATCTAACAATATTACCGCCAAAACTGCAAAATTACTCAATGATACAGCACATTCAAAAGTCATATTTTTGCTTGAAACTGAAGTTTACTGGGCAAAAAGTATATCATACTTTGTACTGTACTTCTCACACCCAGTTAACTGTTATACTTACTCTTCTGCTGCTGTAGGGAAAGACTTCTCATTTCAAACAAAAATCTGCCTCTGACATTAGAACTTCAAACTGTCTGGTATAAACATGAACATTTGCAGTTAATGTGCATCACTGGTAATCAATCTTCCTTCCCTAAGATATATATCTTAAGGATGACCAAGGGCAACAAAGAGGTTAAGTACATTATCATCTTACCTTCAATAATACTGGCCAAAACTCGCATTACAAGGTAAAATACTTTGGTCCTTATTTAAGGGAGTAAGACAGAGAGTATGACAGTACAGAAGTGCAGTTAATACATACTTTAAAATACTTTTGGTCCTTATTTAGAGCAAGACAAAATAGAAGAACAGGTAATGTGTTTTATCTTACCTTCAATAATACTGGTCAACAATCGCAAGGAAAAATACTTTTGCTCCTTATTTAGAGAATAAGACAGGAGAGAATATCAGGTTATATGTAGTTTACAAGTGTGTCTCACTCCTCCACAGATACCTACGTGCCTCTGGGTCTCCATTACACGTACAAGCTACCAAAAGCCGGCAAGAAAATGGCGCACATCAAACTTAGTCATTATAATGGAGTCTGTGTGGTTTATACTCACCCTCTCATGCCTGAGTCTATGTTAACTGCTGCCTCGCCTTCTGTACCCTCGTCTCTCCTGGGCATGGAGGCCAACATCTCCTTACGGTCGTCAGTCTTGTAGGTGGTCGCCCCGGCCTGAACACCTCGCACTTGTTCCACACATCTTGAACTCTTCATTTTCCAGCATATATCGTGCCCAGGACAAACAACCGCAGTTTTAGCCGCGGTTAATGTTCTAGCCTCCACCTGGGCGGCTAGAACGGTCCTTGCTACTATACTTCGCAGCATTTTGGACTAAATCACACTCACTCTAGTAAAATACGCCACATTCGGTGCAGTTTCTTCTTTGAAATGGTGGTGGAGTCGCCTCGGAATTCTATGTGTTGCGAGCGAACGTCCTGGTTGAGATAATAATACGCCTCGTTTTTGTGGGATATCTAAGCTAACCGTCTATTGGATAGTGGCTCTTCCGTTGGCCAATGGCTGGGCTGAGACTTCTTTTCCCTGTCAAAGAGCCAATCAGGTTTTACCTCTGAAAACCCCACTACCTTCATGATCACGTGGTATTGAATACCACTTGGTACACTAAACTTTGGAAACCTTAGCCTGGAGCCGCCATATTCATTGTACTGTATTCGCTTTCTAACGAACAACGCAAAAGTATCGATTAATCATGTAATACAAAATTATAATTCCTAAGAGTTTCTGTACACTTAAACTAATTATTGCCACACGTTACAAAATAAGAAAAATTCATTTTTATTCTCAATCTCCGCAAAATATTCATTAGAAATTGCGTCCATATTTTGACTCATATCTTGAAAATCTCAACAAATTTCTTAATTTTAATCATTATATTCATACAAGAAATATGCCCGGAGAAAAATATAGACAATGGAAGAGATTTTTTGATGGTTTTCAAGACTCCGCTAGAAAACTAAATAAATAAATTTAGCAGATCTCATTTTGCTTGTGAGAGGCTCTTGATCCAAGGAACTGGACTCATCCTCCCCTGCCTTGGATCAAACCTCATTACCACTGCTGGTGAGAGGCTCTTGATCTAAGGAACTAGACTTGCCCTCCCCTGCCTTGGATCAAACCTCATTACCACACATTCCACAGGTACAATATAACCCCCTACAGGTTTAGCGCTTGACCTGATTGAAAATTAGCATATATATATATATATATATATATATATATATATATATATATATATATATTATATATATATATATAAATATATATATATATATATATATATATATATATATATATATATATATATATATATATATATATATATATATATATATATATATATATATATATATATATATATATATATATATATATATATATATATATATATATATATATATATATATATATATATATATATAAAATATATATATATATATAATATATATATATATATATATATATATATATATATATATATATATATATATATATATATATATATATATATCATAATAATAAAAATAATAATAACAATAATAACAGCAATAATAATAATATTAACAACAATAATAATAATAACAGCAATAATAATTATAATAACAATAATAAAAATAAGAATAATAAAAACAACAGCAATGATAATAATAATGACAGCAATAATAATAATATTAATAACAATAATAATAACAGCAATAACAATAATAATAATATTTTTCTCAGAACATTCTACTATGCCTCAAATACAGTAATTTAAATTAATGGAGGCTGTCCCTATTACAATACAGTACTGTATAATTGTTTATTACAAAATTAGTGTACATACAGTAATATAAAGACCCACAGGCTGTATACATCATTTTAGGTAACATTCTGAACTATAATTCAGATTTGCATATATTTTAAAAGAGTCTTTGAATACATTATACAACATTTTTTTCAGTAATATCCATTAAAATCAACAAATTATTAATTTTTAAAAAGGTTTGATACATTATGCATAAATTTTTTCAGTAATATTCATTAAAATCTAAAAATTATTAATTTTTAAAAAGGTCTAATACATTATACATAATTTTTCTTCTGTGATATATATTATAATCTACAAATTATTAATTTTTAAAAAGGTCTAATACATTATACATCAATTTTTTCAGTAATATTCATTATAATCTACAAATTATTAATTTTTAAAAAGGTCTAATAAATTATACATCAATTTTTTTCAGTAATATTCATTATAATCTACAAATTATTAATTTTTAAAAAGGTCTAATAAATTATACATCAATTTTTTTAGTAATATTCATTATAATCTACAAATTATTAATTTTTAAAAAGGTCTAATAAATTATACATCAATTTTTTTCAGTAATATTCATTATAATCTACAAATTATTAATTTTTAAAAAGGTCTAATACATTATACAACCAATTTTTCAGTAATAATTATATTTCATACATTGTAACCAGCCATACAAACTGACATACTATAATAACTTAAGCTATATTATTCATTCTTGTAAACTAATGCATTTCTGCCTATTTATGTGCTATTTAATTTATATTATGTTAATATATCCCTGTTATGTTGTGTATCTTTATACGTATATACTTCTAAACTGTTGTATTCTGAGCACCTCTGCTAAAACAGTGATAATGTGTGAGATAAGATAAGATAAGATAAGATTTCGTTCGGATTTTTAACCCTGGAGGGTTAGCCACCCAGGATAACCCAAGAAAGTCAGTGCGTCATCGAGGACTGTCTAACTTATTTCCATTGTGGTCCTTAATCTTGTTCCCCAGGATGCGACCCACACCAGTCGACTAACACCCAGGTACCTATTTGCTGCTAGGTGAACAGGACAATAGGTGTAAGGAAACGTGTCGGAATTTCCACCCGCCGGGAATCGAACCCGAGCCCTCCGTGTGTGAAGCGGGAGCTTTAGCCACCAGGCCACCGGTGGAAGTGTTGAATGATGATGAAAGTATTTTCTTTTTGGGGATTTTTTTTCTTTTTTTGGGTCACCCTGCCTCGGTGGGAGACGACCAACTTGTTAAAAAAAAAAAGTATTTTCTTTTTGGGGATTTTCTTTCTTTTTTTGGGTCACCCTGCCTCGGTGGGAGACGGCCGACTTGTTAAAAAAAAAAAAAGTATTTTCTTTTTGGGGATTTTCTTTCTTTTTTGGGTCACCCTGCCTCGGTGGGAGACGACCAACTTGTTAAAAAAAAAAAAGTATTTTCTTTTTGGGGATTTTCTTTCTTTTTTGGGTCACCCTGCCTCGGTGGGAGACGGCCAACTTGTTGAAAAAAAAAAGTATTTTCTTTTTGGGGATTTTCTTTCTTTTTTGGGTCACCCTGCCTCGGTGGGAGACGACCAACTTGTTAAAAAAAAAAAAGTATTTTCTTTTTGGGGATTATCTTTCTTTTTTGGGTCACCCTGCCTCGGTGGGAGACGGCCAACTTGTTAAAAAAAAAAAAGTATTTTCTTTTTGGGGATTATCTTTCTTTTTTGGGTCACCCTGCCTCGGTGGGAGACGACCAACTTGTTAAAAAAAAAAAGTATTTTCTTTTTGGGGATTATCTTTCTTTTTTGGGTCACCCTGCCTCGGTGGGAGACGGCCAACTTGTTAAAAAAATAATATCCCTGTTAAATGTATCTTATTGGAAAATAAATATATTATCAGTATTATTGTGTTTATTATGCCTACTTATGTGCTGTTAAATTTATATTATGTTAATATATCCCTATCAAATTTATCTTACTGGAAAATAAATTTATAATAATAATTATTATTATTATTACTATTATTATGGTTAAGATCAAAGTGAATAGGGGTTAAATATAGCCTGGAATATTGTAAATAAATTGGTTTGATGCGAGAGGGACCTGGAGAGAGTTCCGGGGGTCAACGCCCCCTTGGCCTGGTCTGTGACCAGGCCTCATGGTGGCTCAGGGCCTGATCAATCAGGCTGTTACTGCTGGCTGCACACAATCCAACGTACGAACCACAGCCCGGTTGGTCAGGTATCGACTTGAGGTGCTTGTCCAGTGCCTGCTTGAAGACAGCCAGGGGTCTATTTGACAGTAGCTCTTATTCCTTAGATCAAGAGCCTTTCCCCCCTCCACATCTAGAAGAGAATAAGACTTTTATTCTCTTCTCTGAGGCTATGGGTTCCTTACTAGCCAACAGTCCCCATAATAATAATCTATATTTCCACAAGCACATGATGCAACTTATACAGACCATAGCTCACACCAGTGACATGCAGATGAATGGTTCAAAGAACCGACACGTTGTTAAATTAGACACATGTGCAACTCTTGGGTATCTTTATTGAGGAAACGTTTCGCCACACAGTGGCTTCATCAGTCCATACAAAGGATAAACTTGAAGAACAGGAGGAGAATGAGGTAATCAGTCCCTCAACCTTGAGTCGATGTGGTCAGTCCATCAATCTTGAATGGATTGGACTGACCACATCGACTCAAGGTTGAGGGACTGATTACCTCATTCTCCTCCTGTTCAAGTTTCTCCTTTGTATGGACTGATGAAGCCACTGTGTGGCGAAACGTTTCCTCAATAAAGATACCCAAGAGTTGCACATGTGTCTAATTTAACACCAGTGACATACTGCTATATAGAAAGCTGCTTGTTATGCAGAGCATTTCGGAAAAAATTAGGTTAATTTTGTCCCAGGATGCTACCCACACCAGTCTGCTAACACCCAGGTACCTATTTACTGCTTGGTTAGCATGTACAGTTGGTACCTTAAGGAAACACGTACTAATGTTTCCTCCCGTACCGGGGATCGAGCCACGGACCTCAGTATGTGAGCTGAGTGCGCTATCAACCCTGGTATAAACCTTGGTAATAAATACCGACAACTTGGTTTAGAAAGACACGTAAGCAAACACTATAACATATTTATTAGAAAACGTTTCGGTCCTGGGACCTTGATCACTGGTTAGAAGTGATCAAGGTCCCAGGACCGAAACGTTTTCTAATAAATATGTTATAGTGTTTGCTTACGTGTCTTTCTAAACCAGCTATCAACCCTGTTATAGGGACACCAATAGTCCCATGGTTACGAATGGTATATAATACCGACAAGATGAGAGTAAGACACATGTGCAACATCTGGGTATCTTTATTGTAGACGTTTCGCCATCCAGTGGCTTTATCAATACAAATTCCAGGACATAACTTGAAGACAGTAGAACTATGTACAGAATGGAATCTTAATTCTGAGGACATGTACATAACCTTCACGACTACGACAACTACTACTACAACTAACCCATCTCTTTGGGAAGGACCTACTTCCACTGGGGAATCCCGCCTACCAGTGAATTTACCCTCGTCTGCTTCACCTGACGTTACCATATAA